ACAACACTCCCATTGCAACTGGATTATTTTATAGATAAGAAAATGGAGGCCAAGAACAGTGACATCACTTTCCCAAAGTCACGCTATTAGTAGCTGAGCTGGCTTTAGAGACTGAAATTCTTGAATCTCATCCCAGTGGTCTTTCCAATCTACCAGAACGCTGCTCTCAAAAATAAGTATGAGGTCTTGTCCAGATCTCATTCCTTAAACCTCTGCCCACGATGGAAATTAATCTGACTGAACCCTTTTTGGGTGCTATTACCCACAAACAACTCACTTTGGCCTCAGAGACCAGCGTCCAAGGATAACTCAGGCACTGTCCTTCCTTGCTGCAGAATCACTTCTACAGGATACACAGATCAGCAAAGGGACGGAGGCCTTTCGCTGAAATCAGTCCTCCTCCAAGCATGGATGGAGACTAACAGAGGCCATTGGATACTCAGCTCTAAACTGTAAACACAGTGTCCCACTTCAAACTCCATGAAGAGTGGCTTTATATAGACTCTGTCCAGAGAAAACATAATGTGGAGGACCGAGCCTGAGTCCAAATCAGGGACTGTCCCAAGCAGGGAAAATAGCCAACACATCGGGCAATTAGCAAGTGTGGCTCCTGACCGTACCCCCTGCTCTGAAGGAAGTGTTTCGATCTTTCTGTCAGCTATGAGACAGCTATGAAGCTGGAACTCTACAAGGAATATAATAAACACATATTCCCCTAAAGGAGCCAAGCCTTCCCACAATGGAAGACATTTTCCCACCCCACACCTCCATATAATCTCTTCTTGTCTATGATAGCAGGCTTCGCTAAACTGATCAAATCAGGGTAAGCTTGCAGGTATATATACACACAAATATATATATATGTGTGTGTGTATGTGTATACATGTATGTATGTGTGTATATGTGCATGTATATACTTATACACATATATATATATATTTTTTTTTTAATCAGCCAATAAACATGAATTGATGATCTACTGTGTACTAAGAGCTGTGGAGAGGAAAACAAAACTTCTCTCAAGGTGCTTACATTCTGTCAGAAGAGATAACATATAGATACCAGGAGATAAAAAAGGATAGATCAATTCATCCAGCGAATCCGTCGGTGTGAAGGATGGCTGTTGGAGGATGCCGTCGACTCTCCCCTGTGGTTTCCGAAACGAGGTGACCTTGGACATTTTGGAAGAGGCTGCCAGGGAGGGCTCGGCAGGGATGCGCAGGAAACGCTTCATTTTGATTTCCTTAGCTTTTCCTACTCCTCGGAAGGAATCGATTTTCACTCTTCTGCAGGACTTTACTCTAACGAGACGCTTCTGATGTCCAGAGGGTCGTGGGCCCCTTCCTTCCATCCCCCTTTGCGTGGGCTGAGGGAGTACTTATCCGCAACTCAGCTCCCAGGTCCACACTTCTCCTTCTTCTCTCCCTTCTCTTAGAACCCTTAAACTTCCCTTCATGGGCTCACCCTTCACTGCCAGTTCCAGCAAGAAGCCTGTGAAGATTCCCCCTCCCCGCTGAAATTATTCCTTAATGATCTTTCTCTGTATGTGTTGAGATGTCCCAACAATAAGCTTTTTGATGTTTCGTCTTGGGTTTTGTATCACCAGAGATGAGCACAGTGCACAACACATAGTAGGCACTTTGTAAATGCTAGTTAATGATTGAAATGGCCTATAGCAGAACACGAAGCAAGGGCTGCTGGGAGGAAGAAGGTGCTAGCAATGAGGAAAGTGCCACGGATGAAGGTCGAAGCCCTAAAATGAGGGACCAGAAGGATTTGATCCAGGACTCAGTGTGGCTGTGATCAAAGATGGCGGTGAGCCAAGAGCTACACAACAGGCTTTGGAACCCGGGCAGGCCTCATAGCCTAAAAAGGCTGGGGGCAGCTACAGCTAAAGCAGGGCCAGCCCAGGCCTCTGTCAAGAAGTAGCCAGAACACGTCCAGGAAGTCCCAAGCCACGGAGACATTCCCAACTGGTGGCGTGAGGTTGCGAGGAAAGAGAATGAGCCACCTTGGAGTGTGGGGGCAGGAAACATCGCTTACCCAGAAGCCAGCTCTATTTCTGACACCATTGACAAGGGGTTTGGAGCCCTGGCCCTTTCTGGATCCATACAGCTGCCTGTCAATCAACTACCAACAAGCTCTTACCATGTGCCAGGAACTGGACTAGGAATTAGGGAGACGAAGGCATGTTTAAATGAAGATTAGAAGGAGCAAAATCTACTACCCATAACAGAGATTTAAAATGAAACAAATTATTTTTTGCTCAAAATAATTACTATTGACTATAGTAATATTATTACTATAAATAATATTTATATTATCTATTGGTGTCAATATAATATGAATGATAGCCACTAGAATTTATATAGTGCTTTTATATCGCAAAAAAGCACTTTTCAAATACCTTATTTTAAACTCACAACAACCCTGGGAGGTAAAGGCTATTTTTACTCCCATTTTATAGATAAGGAAATTGAGACAGGCAGAGGTTAAGTGATCATATAGCTGGTAAATGTCTAAGGCTGGCTTTGCACTCAGTTTTTCAGAATACCAAATCCAGTGCTCTACCCATTGAACCACTGAGCTGGCCATAGAAAGAGAAAATAGATGGGGAAGCAAGTCATGAAGAGATCACAGAGAATATTCTTAATTATTGATGAACTTCCAAGAGTAAACTTGGTCCTTATTAGAACAGCAACAGGTTATAGGAAGACCTTTAAATTAAAAATATCTCTCTTGTCTCTGTCACAAATCCGGGATATTTATAAGGTCATTAAACAGGTAAGACATCACACCTCAAATTCTTTCAGGTGACAAAATTCTATCACATCCATATAGTTATTAGTACCCCTCAAAATGTTTGTTAAAACAGTACCTTAGTTCTAGTTAATAATCATTTGCTAAATAAGGATAAAGAAATGTGGGGAAAATGGTTCATTATATGGTCCGGGAAAAATTATTATACTGTTTAAGCCCAAAGTTATGTAATTAAAGGTTGTCTATACCCAAAATATCTGCAACCCCAGTCACTCTCAAGGAATGCTGGAAATGTCTGCAAGGTATTTGGGGTTCCCCCAGGTCCTAGATCTACCCAAAGCCATCTTGTTTTGGGTCACCATACCTTGGACTTGGGACAGGTTCACCAAGTTTGTGTTTTGTGGTCCCTTGTGTTTTGACTTTACTCAAATTTTATTAAATGTTTACAGTTCCTCATTCTATCTACATCTACCTTGCTTTCAAGTTGCCCTCCTGGGAATTTGTCCAACTGTGTAGGTGTGCTTGGTGTGTGGGCACTCCTGTCCAAATCCTATGCAACAAAAACCTTCCAAAGCCTGGACCAGAAACTCCTTTCCAGGCTGGTCTCCTCTACCAAAAGACCAAATACATTTCTTTCTAAAACTATTTCAGATTTTGAGGTCTGTTCTATTTTTTTTTTTTTTTTTTTTGGTGTGCCCAGAGTCACACAGCTAGTAAGTGTTAAGTGTTTGATCTGAGGCCGAATTTGAACTCAGGTCCTCCTGACTCCAAGGCTGGTGCTCTATCCACTGAGCCACCTAGCTGCTCCCTTGGGGTTTGTTCTTGCAAACAGCAGAGATGACAAAGTTGCGCATGTTAAAATGCCATAGAAACCTTAGCTAGGAAGATGCTGGGATGTCAGACAAACCTCACTGGTCTCTACATTTGAACAAAATGAAGGAAATTCTGTTGGGAATAATGTGAGATTATAGTATGGAAAATACATAAGAAAAAACCCTCCAAAATGATCAGGAAAAACAGGAGGCGTAACCATTTTCCATAATTCTACTGCTGTCCTTCTCAATGTTTGAGGGGCTTTCCTACAGGGAGTCACTGTTGTCAGATGCTGAACCTCTTGGCTGGTTTGGCCTTTTGGATGGTTCTGTGGCTCGCAGTTTCCAAAATCTAATGATGAATGAGTTCCTTTCAAAACAAAACCCCAAACGCCTTTTCTCTGACCTTTTCTCACTAGATAAGGTGCTGTCCAGAGGGCTCTTTGGCCAATCAAAGCAAGAACGTGATTGAAGGGGCCAGTGGTCTCTGGATGGGTTGGACCCAAACACCTAACAACCCACTAGGGGGGCTAATGCGAAGCTATGTGTCTTGTGGGCTACTCACAGGGGTAGGTGTCCCCCCCCCCCCACCACCACCCCTTTAGAACCATCTGTTGGACAGTGACTAAAGCAAACTACAGGAGCATTTACTAGTTGTATGATATCTGGGCAATTCACAGATGGGTAACGAGGCTCTAAAATAAGGCTGGACCAGACGTCGCCCTAGGTGCCTTCCAGCTCGAACTCTCTGATCCTATGGTGACTAAGCAGCTGTGGCATTGTAGTCAGTGTGGGCTTAAAGTCAGAAAGAGCCCAGTTCCAATCCTGCCTCAGGCACTGCTTAGCTAGGCAGCCCTGGACGGGTCACTGCTTGTTTCATTTCTTCAGCAGGGAGATGGGGTTAGCACCTGCCTCAGAGGATTCTTTTGGGGATCCAACCAGGTAACTCATGCCACGTGCTTTGCTAACCTTAACGTGCCATATGAACGTGGTCTGCGATTGCTCTTAGAAGGTCTTTCTGGACACTGACTGCTTTAGGAATAGCTCATCCAGATTCCTTTTCTTTCCATTTTCGTGAAGACAAAGAGAAGCTAATGGCTCTCTTAGCCCCCATGCGATGATCCAGTCACGAGATCATACATCAAGCGTTGGAAGGGACCAGAGAGACAATCTCACCCTCCCCTTCACTCTGGGAAGCGAGGCCCAGATGGGCAGTAAGTGAGACAGCCAGGTCTGCGACTCCCACTACAGGCTCTTGCCGCTGCACCCGCCCCCGGTCATCCCCAACAGGGCAGTAAATCGTTAGCCTGAGCTCCCGACGATCAAGTCATGGCTGTGGATGGCTGGCCCCTCAGCCAGGAAACCTTGCCCGACACGTCCCTGCCATGCCAATGCCCTGATCACCTTAGCTGTGCACCGGAGCCTTACCTGAGAGGGTCAGCAGCCGCGGCGGAAGCAATGGTCCAGAAACACCAGAGTCAGCAAAGGTTCTGCTCGCAGCTGCAGACGAAAGAGTGGGAGGTCAGCATCAGGGCACAGAGCCAAATGGCCCTTACTAGCTACAAGCATGGAGGGGCTAACCAGCAACCAACAGCTCATAGAGCGGATACAAGAAAGCAACTGATTTAATGGAATAACAAGACCATCACTCCCTGAAAGGGAGGGAGGGGGGGAAGAGAGGACGCTGACCCAACCCCAGGGGTCATTGCATCGTGAAAGCCAGAGGAGATAGTCTAGCCCAACTGCTGAAAGACAAAATTGGAGAAACCCAAGCCCAGGGGGAATTAGAACACACAAGGGCATGCAGATAATGACTGACAAAAAGCAGATTTTAAGTTGGAACTCCTGGTCAATCAACCAATCACCAATGATTTATCCAGTACAAGTAGGTTGGGAACACACAAGACAAGCACAAATAGTCCCCGCCTCAGGGAGCTTACAATCTAATGGGGAAGATAAGAAACCCATAAATAGGTGCACACAAGAGCCAGACAACATGGAAGGAAAGAAACCACAGAGAAGTCCTTGACCCTGGGGCCTGGAGCCTTGGGCTCCTGCAGAAAGGCAGATTCTGAGCTGAGGCTCAAAGGGAGCCAGAGATTCTCAAAGCTGGAGGTTAGGTGTTCCAGGATGAATTTTATTGTATGCGAACATTTGATTCCACAATTAAAGGAAAGGTCTTTGAGGGCAGGAACTGATGCCTTTTTATCTTTGAACTCACAGGGGTGAGCTACTCACAACGGGCAGCTAGGGAATGCCATAGTGCACAGAACACCAGGCTTGGAGACAGGACATCTTCCTGAGTTCAAATCTGGCCTCAGGTATTTACTAGCTGAGTGACCCTGGCCAAGTCACTTCACCCTGTTTGCCTCAGTTTCCTCATCTATAAAATGATCTGGAGAAGGAAATGGCAAACCCCTCCAGTATCTCTGCCAAGAAAATGCCAAATGGGGTCACAAAGAGTCAGACATGGATGAAATGACTGAATGAATCCCCGTTGGTTAGCACAGCGATTGCCACATGGCCAAATGCTAAATGAATACTTGTTCATGGATTACACAGGCTACTCTATCACACCCTACCGAAAAGATGAGACTGGTTCTGTCGATGCTGTTGTTAAACACATTTCAGTGTGGTATCCCTGGTGGCAGCTGGCCAATCTCTCCTCAAACCCCATTTGTTGGGGGAAGCCCTTCGCTCCAGAATCTAAAAATACTGAGAAGCAATGAAAGAATAACATAAACTGATGCAGAGGGGAGTCAGCAGAACCAGGAAAGGAATTTGTATAATGACAAAAATGTAGAGAAAACAAAGGACCGGGGCCATAGAAGTGAAGTGGACATCGTGTAATTATACACAACATAACTGACCAAACCGGGACCTGAAGGAAAGAGGAGAAAACACATCTCACTCAGCCCTTTCTTTGCAGAAGTGAAGGACTATGGGAGGAGAACAGCCCATAAAATACTGTTAGACTGTACTGATGGATGCGTTGGTTTTATGGAGTTCCAACTTTCTGTGTTTACAACGGATGGTGACAGAGGAGAGACGTGTACCCAGAAACGAAGTTCATACAAAAACAAAAAAGTCACCGAGCTACAATCAGTCAACAGAAGCGCTCTCTCTCCCACCCAAAAACCAACCGTCCAGTGTGAGGAGGCAGCCTGAGAAGGCTGGGAGAGATGGTGATGGTGTGCATCGCAGGTGCACGAGCAGGCTCAGGGTGCAGCCTTAGCAAGTGAAAGGAGAGAAAGGACCTCCCAGCCGTGGTCTAACCAGAAGGCCACACGGCAGTGTGAGGGAAGAGCCCAAGCCCCGGCTCCCCGGGCCCAGAAGGTGAAGCTTCTCTCAGCAAGGGTAGAGAGGTGTCAGAGCTGGGGCCACATCCCAACACCACCGGATGCCTTCGCCTCGGTTAGAAAGAGACTTTCTCATTCTGGTTCTGAGGTCTGAAGTTTCCATCACTCTCATGTTAGCCATATTTGTCATGGATTTCACATTGAAAGGGCAGCTCAAATCTTCTCATGGGATTTCACCCACCCTCCCCTAGCTCGTTGCTGGAGAAGGAAGAGAAAGCAGGAAGAACACCGCGTCTTAGTTGAAAATGCAAAACTGGCCAAAGACCCAAACTCAGGGATGAGCCGTGGAGTGCTTGTGTTGTGGCCCCAACCTCCGTCACATACAGAAGTCTCACCGTCCTCTAAACAAGGGTCACAACTCACCTAACCAGGCAGAAATTTGCCAGCTTTCCTAAAGGATGAGTGTTCTCATGTCCAATAATGCAACCTTGGCCTTGTACTGGCCCACTCAGACACTGAGGATCCTGACAAACACACCTCTTACCTCTGAGGCATCAAGTGATGCTCAGCCCTGAATGCCAGGGCTAACGAGGAGGTGAATGACTTCAGGCCCAGAGCCTAGCATTGCCTGGTTCCGTGGCCACAGACCCACCAGGGGAGGGGGGGGGGGGGGGGGGGGGGGAGCTTGCCCTCAGTAAGCTTATGGTCTGTTCTCTAGAGACAGACAGCTTGTGCCCAAAGAGAAAGTCAAGATACAAACTACATCCTGAATACACAGAAGGAATTTTTTTATTGTTGGGTAGGGGGAATGGAAATCAGGAAAGGCCTCCAATTTGGACACCATGTTTGGGGACCTCTGTGGCCCCTTCCAGCTCTGACATTATGATCCTGTGTTCTTGAGAGAAGACCTGTAGAAGCCCAATCAAAATCATATCTTACGTAGTTATTACATTGACTGTGGCTGCTTCTCTCTTTTGCTGTCAAATGTCTCACCCTGTCCTAAAGCACGTCTGAAAACCAAGGCCCCAAGGAGAGAAGCTTGCAAATGTCGGCCCGGCCTGGCACAGAGAAAGAGCTTGTGTGTGGGTGTGCACTGAGGTCCTTGTGGATTTCAACTCTAAACCTCAACTGCAACCAGGATTCGAATTCAACTGTAAAATTTCACAGGTTTAAAACCATATAATCGGTAGAGATGGGACTGAAGAGTAGTAAAGTCTGCTAAAGTCTACAATTCAAAGCATTTTGAGAATGCTACCAACTCACCTCTACCTTCTCCTCCATCACCAAACTCTACACATGAGGGGTCGAGCCAGTTTGTCCAATTGATTCATTTTGACCTTGCAGTCCACTCAAACACCCAGAGGGTTTTGTTTTTGTTTTGTTTTTTGGTTTTTGGTTTGTTTTTTTTTTCAGATAAAATGTTAATCTAGCCAAGATTCCTGCATCTTATACTTACAAAGTAGAATTTCTGAACCCAGGAAGCCTTTTTATTTAACCCTATTAAATTGTGTCTAATTGGATTAAGCTCCTTATTCTAACCCATCAAGATCAATTGGAATACTGGTTGTCTGCAAGTAAGGTAGCCATCCCTCCCAGCTTTGCATAAAGTGAAAATCAATTTACAGATGCATATAGGCCTATGGATGTAATCTCAGGCCAAGGTGAAAAGATCCCAGACTATTTTTTTGGAAAAAAAAATGATTAATTAAAATAATCCTTAGGAATTTGAGTATCCAAAGTTTAACCCACAAATACACTTATAACAATGTTGGTCTGGTATGAAGACACTGAAGACAAAGGTACCCTGTCCTCTGCTCAAGGGGTCACCAAACACTTAAACACCTAAGCCCACCCAAGATGCTGATTTGCAATACAACAAATTCTATCACTTATGAATGATTCGGTTGTCTCATTAAAGGGATGTTTGCCAGTATTTAATTGCTTCCCTTCTGATTTTAATTTCCTTACCTGTCAGCATCCATCAGCGACACTGAGATCTTTTGACATCCCGGCTGATTGTGCTGAAGTTAATCAGATTTTTTTTTAACAGTAAATTGCTTTGGCCCTAATGTAGAAACTGCAATTTCTTATGAGGATATTTATTTATAAAGTTCTCTGAATGGACCTTACTAATAGCTGAAACCTATATAGCAGTCTAATGCCACCAATGAGCTTTCCTACATTTTCTCATTTGACCTCAGAGAGACCTTGCATGGAAAGTGTCATTAATATAATTATCATGACGCCCATTTTATAGATGGTGAAACCAAGGCTCAGAGGGATAGTGTCTCGCCCAGGGTTGCACAGAGAGTGTGCTGGTCTTGGAGTCTGGAAGATGTGAACCTCAGGATGCTCATTGGTCAAGTTTCCTGAGGCAGGAATTGGAATAATAATAGCACATACTTTCTAGGATAAAATGGGATAATACATGTAAAGTAGTTTGCAAATATTAGCCTGCTACGTTGTTGGGTTGTCAACCAAGGTAGGATTCCCACCCTGGCTTTCCTGACTCCAAATCCAGCTATATATAGTACACAACACTTCTCATTCTGAAGCAAACTGAGTGATTATGGTAAATGAAAGTCCAGAAATGTGCTAAGACCACCCCATTCAGCTATACAGAAAAATAATAATAATAATAATAACACTAGTTCTGGGGGAAAAGGAATAGGGCCAAAATTCTGGTTGATAACATGGGGCAATTCAATTCCAAACAAAATGTCTAAATAACACAAAAACAGCTTCAGCCTATGCCAGTAGTTTAAGAAATACTGAAATAAATTCTCGTACCCCAATTGATTATTGGAATCTGTTTACATTTCTAAGTGACCTCCAGGAGGCCCCTGACCATCAAGGATGGAGGCAAGATCAAAGACAAAAGGTACTAGGTGACCCAGGAAGAAATCCAAGTCCTGTTGAGACCCCAGAAAGGTGAAAAGAAGGTGTTCTGCATGAGAACACCTGAAGGTAAACAGAAGAGGGTAAGATGAAGTCAGAAGAGAAGGCTGCACTATCATGATAGGATTTGTTTTAAGGGATTACAGGTCCCTAGGTGAGAGGCAGATGAGAAGTTTAGAAATCATATACAAGAAAAAGAAGTGGTGGCTTATCCAAAGAGAGTTATTGTCAGAAAGAAAACCAGAGGCAATGAGAAAAGAAAAGTTTCAACTTAAGAGGAACCAAGAGATAAGCTGAGCCTTG